CCTCCTTCGAGTTCACCGGGCTGGTATAAATATCTTACCCTTACTCTATCCGGAAGTTTTTGTTCTTTGCCTCTCCTCGGTGCTGAAGATTCGGAAGTCACAGATTTCATTTTAATCGCATCGGATGGTTTATTCCCTATTAATCTCGTTACTTCATTATTCAACGCTGATACAACAGCTGATAAACGTGTCACCCATTCAGTTGATCTTAATCGCTCCGATTTCATTTCGAAATACTGATATCCAAACAAACGTTCCGCTAATGTCCGGTTAAATCTTTCAACGATAGCTGGACTGCGGTGGGCCTCTCTTTCACCACGCCTGATTTTGACATCGTGCTTTGTTAACAGTTTAGTTATCGATCCCATAAACTCGCGACCAGGATCTACTTGAAATAGCTTAGGCCATTTTAGTGGTCCGCGTTTATATATAAAACTTAGTGCATTAGCTACTTCTGTTGAATCTTTCGAGGTTAATGGCTCAGCCTCTTTGTATCAACTAGCCACATCCACTTCTGTTAAAGCGTATTTATACGTTTTGCGTCTTACCTTATCATGGGGGAGAAACAAGAGGTCAGCCTGATGAACTTCATTATTTGTAAAAATATCAAACTTCTTCCTCTATATATAACGCGGTGCCAGTAAGTATATTTGCCACATCGCTTGTTTCTTTAACCAATCCTTGGCCACATCTTTAGATACCTTAGCCGCTGTGGTTAATTTTTGTATTGCACCTATACCTTTCCAATATCCTCGTGGGCTATAGTAAATTTTATTCATTATTAATTAATATTGATGTTTCTTTTTATACGACTCATGACGATCGTTGATGCGTATCATCGTTTTGACATAAAAAAGATTCCATCTTTAGTAGCGGTATAGGTATATAAATCTGGCTCCAGTGGAAGTGGGCTAGAACCATCATTACCTTTAATTTTAATAAGCTTTATTGATATGTTTTTTCGTACGAATACCCAATGTGTAGCTGATTTATTGAGGTACAGATGCTGATATTGAGGTTAAAAGACACAGTTAAAAGCTGGATTAGAAGGATTCCACTTAAGTTTAGTAATAAATTGAAGTGCAAGCTGGCCCTTCTTAAACCGAGACAAGGTTGGTTTGCTTCCTCATAGAGACTTTCTACAGGAGAAGTTCTGAAAGCACCTAATCTCAGACACTGATGGTGAATGCTGTCCAGCTTTTGTAAATATGATTTGCGAGCTAAACCATATAAGAAAACATCCATAGTCTAGTTTAGATCTGACCAATGTTCTGTAAAGATGCATCGCCAGCCCACGTAACATTTGACACTACTTTAAGAATGTCCAGTGCCTTTAAGCATTTGATTTTAAGTGAGTGAGTCACATCGGCCATATCATGACTTTCAAGGGTTAAACACAATAAATACATTGAGACTTATATAAAAATCTGCCAACGAAGGACAGTAAAATAACTAGACGTATCATAAAAAAATAATTAAAACTAGCATGGAATTATAAAATGGATATCACTGTACATAACAATACATTATAAAAACGGGCTATAGATCGCCAGCAACTGAAGGTAGATCACCATACTGGGGACCATGGGAACTTACAGTACTTTTGCTTCCTGCGTGGACCCCAGCAGGATTAATACTAAGTTAGCCTAACATATTAAGTGACACATATTCTACGATAAAAAATTTATTTGAAAGATGTGGAACTTACGTAACCTCTCAGGGCGACAATAATTTTACAGTACCTTAACCCCCCTTCAAGGATACCGCCACTAACAATCTCAGTTGCTAGTTTAAGCTACCAATGTTAAAACGGTATACTTTTTACAAAACAAAGTAATCAAAATTGTATAAACAATTCAATTTCCTTTCAAAAAACAATAATTAAATGAGAATTGATATAAAAAAGATTGTTAATAAATTGTTTTGAAATAGTTGTCCCTTGTGGTGGAAAAGTCTATAAGTCAAACAGGAAGGGATACAGAATGGAGGATCCTCACCTTTTAACAAATATCCGTGTGTATAGCTGGAATGGCCAATTCATCGTCGTATGACCTCTTCAAATCTGGACTGATAGCCGAAGTAGGTGTAACCCATAGTAGGTTAAATTTCATGTAATTTATGGATACCTACTTGACTAATCTAACCAAATGACCAATGGTACTTCCATTTTTTCTAAAACCACATTGAATATTTGTTATAAGATTATTTGTTTCTAAGTACCATATGTATCTGTTATGTATCAGCACCTGTAGCAGTATCCCTAAGGCTTGCCCTAAGGCAGTATTTAGCTCATGAAATGAAAAGATTTCATTATAATCTTCAACATTATCAGAGTTTAATTTTCTTTCTTGTTGGTCTTTAAATTTCTGAAATTTTGGTACATAATTAGATGATGAAGAATGTTTAGCTAACGTTTATTTGCTATATCGGATTTATCAGTTAACAGTGTACCGCCTTCCTAAGGTGGTGAACGCTAGATTTGGAACCTTTACCTTTTATCCTTTGCACCATATTCCAAACCTTAGACATAGGTGTTCGAGAATTTATTTTAGAAACATAGTTTCAATAAGATTGGAGTTTGCTTTGTTAAAGGTACGACAGACTTTTGCATTTATATTTTAGATTTATTTAAATTATGGACAGTAGGGTGATGGCGGAAATACTTCTCTACCTTTTTCCTAGCTTTCCTAGCATGTTTATAAACGGTGTTAAACCATGGTTTACGAATATGTAGATTTATAGAGGACTTTGGTATGCATTAGTTTGTTTGTGAATAATATTTGAAATATAGGCCAGTTAGCCTTTGTAAAACAGAAAATTGAGATTCTCCATCTTGTCTTCAGGCTATTAAAACATGTCTTCCACACATCCACTTATAATAGAAAGATTAAATTGTTTAATGATCTTGCTACAGGCCAGTACGACATCGTTTTCTGTTGGTTACCCAGCCATTTTGAGATCGTTGGTAACACAATGGCTGCTGCTGCTGCTGCTAAGGCAGCTCTCAACAAATCTGTGACACCACTTCTTATACCCTACAGTGACTATAAACCTTTATTTTAGATGTAACATCAGAGATCTGATGCAGAAGAAGTGGGACACCAGAGTGGGTATAAAAAAATTACATGCAATAAAACCAAATATTGGTTACGCCTGCTTGGGTTGTCAGTCCAGATTTGAAGAGGTCATATTAAGATGATGTCTTTCGTATTGGCTATTCTCGATATACTTATGAATATTTATTAAAAGGTGAGGATCCTCCATTCTGCATCCCTTGTGATGAAAGAATCAAGGTCAACATGTCCTGCTTGACTGTATTGATTTTTCCATCACAAGGGATCAATATTTCAAAGTTTCATCCATAAAGGATCTCTTTCATCTAAGTTCTCATTTAATCATAGGGTGTGGTTTTTTTAAATAATAGAATTAATTCATAGATTTTCATGTACATATTTATTTTTTTACGAAATGGTAGTGTATAACTATTGATCGAGATTGTTTGTCGCTGTGCCCTCGAAGGGGGTTGAAGTAGCGTTAAATGTTAGTCCTCCTAAGAGGGTATCATAAGACCACATCATTCAAAGCTTGTTATTCCTACCATAGTTTTTAATCGTAGAATATTTGTACATTTTAATTTGATGGCTAAAATTGACTGAAATCGCCAGCGGCTGAAGCGATGATGTAAATCCTGCTGGGGAACCGTGCAGGTAGCAGAAGTATCCCACGGTGCTTTGTGCGGTGCAACTTTGGTTGCTGGCGATCTATAGCCCGTTTTTATCATAGGTTATTCTTTTAATTGTTCTCAACTAGTTTTAATTTTAAACTGTGATAATCTAGTTATTATACTGTCCATAACCGACAGGTTTTTATTAATATAATTTTATGAACTATTAATGTTCTCGTCATGATATGGCTGAAATATTGCCCAGGTGATGTTAAATATTGACTCACTCACTCATGAATATTCTAAATGGTATGAATACATTTAATGTAATATTATATAATTCCGTATTGTATGAGTTTATACAGAATGTGTAAGCGTAATTTATTTATCTTTTCTATATAGTCACTACCAAACATAGACTTATGGCTCTTGAATTTATTAACGTCATTACCGTATATGTTACAGTATAAGTGGTTAGCATTATCTGGTGCCTGTAATGACTCACTGATATGTTTATCAGTTAATGTAATAATTACCCGTGACAAGACTGTGTTACTTATATTTATGTAGCATTGATGATTATATTATACTTGTTATTTAAGAAATAAACAACGAGTGGGAGTTGTTATCATACAATAAAACACTGCAGGGTGAATAAACCATGATGTTGATAATGTAGGGGGAAAAGGGCTTCGCTTTAACTAACATATTTTTGAAATAAATACCACCATCTGGGACACGATAAAGTTGTATTTAGGTAGATATGTAATCGTCTACTTTATATTGAAACACTTTCCACGATACATCTGTGATGTGTAAATTGATTTTTTATGGGATTACTTAGGCCAAGTCGGACCAAACGCTGGGTTTAACGCTGCTTTTAACTGTATTCCAGTTATATCACTTGGTGTCACTTAATGTAGGAGGAAAACCTGAAGTGATCCAGGTCAGAGATGTCTACCACATTGGTGAAACCCACGAGGTTATGGTGCTGACAAACCTAGAAACAGAATTCGAATACACAATCATAGGTTTCTGGGGTGTTCAAGGGATGCAACTCTTCACAGCGAATTGCAGCGCCTAGCTAAGACGACTGGGCCACCCGTCACCCGGACTCGATTATTTACAGACTGCCCTGATATGGCTGTAATATTTCTGAGTGCGGTGTATTACAATAAAAAAAAACCCCTAAACAAATCATTATACATCAGAGCTCTATAACAGGAGTACATGTGGTAACCATGAAAACTTTAAATCCATCTGTATCTGTATCAGTAATAGTGGGGTCACAATACAATTTATATTATGACACAGAAATAATGACAGAACCTGATGGTGATTGATTCAAGTTTAATGTAAACACAAATACATATATCTGGTCCCTTACTGAATGTTTTTCTCTTGAAATTTAACAAACATGATGACAAACAATAAATACATTGAAATTTACTGTGCACAAAAGGAATAATGCTCCTTTCATGTATGTATGGTGTGGTATATTGGTACAAAGACCTTTGATAGGAAAGGCTATTTTAACTTGGTTCAGATCTTTGAACATTTACTGAAATACTACTTGACATATTTATCATCCAGAGACAGGTCCCTGGCAAGTTTTAGTCATAACAAATACCTTTACTATTGTGATAGGCTATTACGATTTTCATTTGCTCAAAACTCACCAAATTTTGCAAGGATCAAATAGCCATTTTTAGAATAACCTTGGCACGCGGTAAACGTAGGCTCCAAAAATGTTAACATTATGGTGGAACCGTTCATTATTTCAGTTAACCAATAATAAACATGACCTAATTCAACTGTACAAATATCCATTTATTATAATAAGTCTAATATTGAGCACTGATGCTCTGATGAATTGTTTCAGTAGGAAACGTTTTATAAACCTAATTCCCCTGAAAAAATGCACATGACATAGTGCAGAACTCTGCCTCATCTCAACAACTAAGCACAGTGTAATCTTGTTGTCCAAGTTCAGCTCAGCAGTACTGGTCAGCCAGTCGAACCCTCTCAGCTTGCTCTGGTAGCAATGTTTGAGAAGCATGTTCCTGCCTCCATTCAGCCAAGTTCTTTGCACCAAGCTCCTGATGCAGCTGCAGTTGTTGCTGCTTAGACTTGACCACTTCTTCGTTCATTCTGTAACCAAAACAATACCATTTTATCTCAGAATCATAGTGACACTACAACACTTACGAAACAGTATATTTCTGTATTTCCCAACAAGCAGAAACAGAAGAAAACCAATTCCCTCCTTTCCTACCTGAAACATGTATCACCAAAAACAACAACATTTGGACATCAAACCAGGTGACGGCTTACCTCACCAACATTTACCTATTTTCAACTTTTATCCTTATTATTGGTGATCACTTTTTTTTAGTTGGTGTACAGAATTTTGTTTTTTTCTTACAATGTGGTGAAAAGTTTTTAAAAAAAATTGTCTTTAAATGTCGGTGGTCGATATAAAATTAAAAAAAAACCTCTTTCTATAATCTTGTTTTCTCTGTATCGGATGGCATGTGATCCTTTCGTAAATGGGACCCAAGAACCAAGATGGAATATCAAGCATGCAGATATATGGCAACAATTGTACTCTCCACATATATATATAAAGTACTATGTCTGAAACTGATATAAAGAAGACATTAGACTAACATGGACTTCATTATTTTATTATCTATGACATAGTAGTATACGTAGCCAGATTTACCCCCTATACTGCTACTACAGAGGCAATTTTTTATGCAAAAACGACGATGCGCACCAAAAATCATCATGAGACTAAGCTAAATTGTAATGAAAAGGGCTCTAGCTCACCACCACCTGAACCCTATCAATGCTTCTATGACATAATTTTTTGTAGGCAATGGGGGTTCTGCCGCAGCTCCACTGAAGCAAGATTTATACCCCAATACCTATACTGCAGAGGTAATTTTTTGTACAAAAATGATTCAATAAGCGTCATGACTCCAAACTAAATTGTTATGAAAATATTCTCTATTATTTTTACTCTTACACATACCATTATTTTGAACAAAGTGATTTTCAACATTTTTACTAAGTTCTTCATTCATTTTACTAGGAGACCAGACTGTGTACTCTTCTTTGAAATTGGAAAGAATCAATTGATAACCATATTTGCTTGGTTTGACATCATTGATATAATATATACCTTGAGGCAAATCTCGCCATTTGATAATTTTGTCCTGGGGCCCTTCGATCGCTACTTCCTTTGTTGTCTTGTAATTCTCCATTATTATTCTATAGACTTATGTAGGCATTCGTCTAAATGAATGTATGATCCAACGATGTATCCAGTATCTATTTTTAATCTCCAACCAGTTCTTTGGTTTTGGCACGAATAATTGACGCGCTTGTTGTCTCCCCTGGTCTATGAACTTTTTTTTCTTGTCTTCACTAATACCACTGGTCTTACTTACAGGAATTTGATCGAATGTCCTAATTCATTGCGTTGTATTTGGTGAGTTCTGACAACACTAAACGAAACTCCTCCTCGGATATCTTACAATCAGCCAGTGCTGTTGAAATATGATCCTCAATGCTGTTTAACTTTGCTTCGGCATGTATACAAATACTGTCAAGTTTTAATGCTTTCTTTTGCAACTTACGAGAAATAAATTTTATCATATAATGAGTAGGTTTCTCGGCAGTATAAAGCCAACGGATAAAAACGATATCCGTTGGGGTCATACGCAGATAGAGATGCAAATATCAAAGGTAAGTAGGGACTACTTTCCGTGTTTATAAACAAACATGGCGTCGCCCTTGTCATTCGGTAATCGAGTCAGATTTAACCATCGGGAATCTTGGAATTTCGAAACAATTTTGCAAGGGCACCAGGCCTATCCAAGCGGGATCAGTAGCCATATCTGTGCTTGTAGACCTCTGCGTCTTGAAACCTTTTCCATAAATTAAAATAGTTGGATTTGTCCGAAATATGTTTGAATTGTTACCTTGTTTCGTTTTGTCGCTGTGTGAACATCTGGTTACACTTCTTAACGTTATGACAGGACAGGCCGACTGTCAACAACGTCTGAACGTGGCCGTGACTTCTCATAGACTAGGGTTAGAGTAGCTTCCCTTTGACAAAGGGCGGACAGACCGATGGATTGCCACGAAATGAACAATGATTGTTTTGCGTATGTTGCTTTGCCACTGTATAAGAAACAGATTTCAGTTGGAACTATATTGGCTACTGTCACTGTCCTACTGACACATCACTTACCCTGTGACGTAATAAATATTAATGCGCGAATTCCAGGAAAACTCGAAATGTTTGTGAGAGAGGGAAAGCGATTTTCAAACACAGAATTAAAGAATGACATTATATGATAAAGAGGTTATCACGTTTGTGTGTTTGGGGATGGTAAATATCCTGTATTAGGAATAAACACTACATAATTAGCTCGCCAAGGCTCGCTAAATACAATGTTTATTGTATTACGTTGGTACGATAGGCGTGGCTATTATAGTTGATAATAAACCAACACTGGCTACACCAAGTCCCATGCTAGCTGTTACAGTGTGCAGTGTCAACTCCGTCGAGAGCATTCACAGCTCTGATACTTTATATAATCAAAGTCTCAACTCCCTCTCCTTCTCTATTCAATGTTTTATGTGTCTTATTTCATGTAAACAAAATCCATCAACAGTATATATCTTTTCAGATGCTTCATCGAGCACCCAATATAAACCCATAATATATACTAGCCACATAAAGAAACTGTGCACGGAGAAAATATATTCTGGATTTAAATACAACACGGCAAGAACAAAATGATGCAGACGCTGTAGCAGCTGAATGATCGGACCATAAGAAAATGTCAACGGGACCTGAACAACATCTGTTACGATGACGTCAGAAGATCAAAATGGAGTAGGGGGTCATACCACAAAGTCACGAAGTCAATAACGGGTATGACCACCCTGTGCGTGAATCACAGCAGTGCATCGGCGACGCATGGAGTCCACCAAATGGGCATGGAAGGCCTGGGGAATGGCCTGCCATAGCCTCCTCAAATACTGTGCCAAGTCACGGACGTTATCTGGAGGATGTGGAAGACGACGCAGACGGCGCTCCATTTCATCCCACACATGCTCTATTGGGGAATGACCTGGAGAAACTGCAGGCCATGGCAGTAACATGACATTGTTATGGTGAAGGAAATCCATTGCAACCCTAGCCGTGTGAGGAGGAGCGTTGTCCTGTTGAAATGTCAATCCCAGGCTATGACGTTGCAGGAAAGGAATGATCACAGGCCTTAGAATCTGATCTCTGTAGCCAACACCGGTGAGATTGCCCTGAACAACCACCAAAGGGGTTCAGTGCCGTGCTGTTATCCCACCCCAAATCATCACAGAGCCACCTCCAAAACGATTCCTCTCCACAATACAGTTGCGTGCATAACGTTCTCCCAAACGCCGGTAGACACGTTGGCGCCCGTCACTGTGGGAAATGTTGAACCTCGATTTATCTGTAAAGACAACATTTCTCCACCATATTCGAGGTTGGCGAACATGATTTCGACACCATCTTAGACGGTTGACTCGATGACGGTGTGTCAGGATGGGATGTATGGCAGGGCGTCGTGGTCGAATCCCGTACTGACGTAGACGATTCCTGACAGTGTTGGGATGGATACGGCGCAGTCCAGGAATTGTCTGGGATGTCGTTACTGCCGTTTGGAACCTGTGTCAGAGATGTGTCACTCGAATCCATCTGTCCTGTCTTGGCGTCGTTACTCGGGGACGTCCTGAACGTGGGTGGTCGACAACGTCATTTGTGTTCTGATAACGCCTCACCAATGCCGATATCGTGTTACGATGGCATTGGAAATGTGTTGCCACCTGTTGTTGCCTCATTCCCGCTCGGATCATTCCAATGGCTTCATGACGCTGTGCAGCTGTCAATCTTGGCATGATTTGCTTGTGATATGCTTGTGTCTGCGCCTGAGAAGTTTTGAATTTTTGAATGACCACAGATCATGCTTTCCAAAGTGACAGCAAATTTTGAGTTGCACATGCTGTGTACAGCTGCACAGGATGCACGTGCAGTAACACATTGCACGTCCATAGGCCCCAATCAATGACGTCATATCGCATGGCACGTGCATGAGTGTTTGAATGTCTCCAATAATTGCTGTGTTCAAACCTATATTTCATATATAGACGGTGTGCCCTTATATCTATATTTTCTCCGTACACAGTTTCTTTATGTGGCTAGTATATATTATTATATTATGTAAGAGTCTATAATTGGTCTTGCTTCAATGTCTTGAGAGTATACATCAGCCTTATTAAGTAAGTAAGTAAGCGAAATGCTTTGTCTTTTATTAACTTGGACCCCCTTAAGGGTTGCAACGGGCGATACTCCCATATGAAGCCATTTAATTGATAGTCCCGGTAATATCGCGAAGGCATCTTCTGGCGCATCCCCAAACAAGACTTCAAACTATAGTTGTAGAAAGATCAGGTACAGCATTCAAGTTATTCAATATATATCATTGAATTCAGTAACCAAACCAAAACATTTTTTAATGATGGATGACTCAATAACATATGGCCTGGGTCATCTGTCAGGGAGCCACTAACACACTCTTTCGTTTTGAGGGGATATAAGCCCCAAGTACAATCACATTATTCATAATCTAAGTTATATGATGTCCTTTACCCGTCGTCACATATGGTGGGGCAACAACGATATTCAGTAGCCACGCAATTTTTGCTTCGACCATAGTCCACTCATTATCATCATTGAGAGTAAGATTGTATGAAGTGTTTTTATGGAGTCAACTAAAGTCAACATCATTTAAATCTCCTAGATTAGGTGCAGGTGAGGTGAATACAACTTCTTTCCGCTTGTATACATAGTCTTCTAAGGGTAAAGCATATAACTTACCATCAGTACCAGGTTTATCAAATCCTTCTGTGTCTCCAAGATTAGAAAGCGCAATTGTATTACATTGTCTGAGGTTATGCGTTCCAGGACCTGAAGAATCAACCATTATTTATAATATGGAGTGTTACACTCAAGTATCCTATATGTACAGGTTGATGTTTTACATCTAATACAGAAATTTTGAGATCTGTAATAATACCCCGCTTTAACTTTTTTA